GAGTTATATGGTAAAGACACTTTTCAACTATCTTTTTCAATAATGTGCTGCAGATCATAAGACGGTTATATCTACTCAGTAGGTGAGATCCATCCACTTACACATTAAATATAGAAACTCACTTGTATATATGCAATTCTGATTCCTCGCCTTCAAACCAATAGGTTGGATTAATTATTTTTGTGTAGGTCTTCCCTTACGTACCTCACTTTTTTGGTATGCTAATTCGTCAAGTTATAAGGTCATAATTCTGCATCAAAAATTTGAAAGAGTTCTTTTTGTTACAAAAAGACCATGAGCCATTTACAAAAATCAAAGTTATTTACATAGAATAATCAATCACCCATAATTATCTACCCAAAATATAATAGTATGAATTTCCATTGGAATTAGACTCGTTCAAATAATTTGAAAGGAGAATACAATATACCTTAAAAATGATTGAATTTTGTAAATTTAATTATATTATTAAAATAATATCTATTAGGGACCAAAATTATGTTTTAAGAATTGAGGGACTAAAATAAAAAGTATATAAAAAGTCTACTAACATAGATATTTTAAAGGATAAAAAAAAAGGTGAGAACCTAAACCAGTTTTTAAATTGTTCTCTCTTTTCAAATTACATAGGAAAATTTTCATATTTGTATAATTTTTCTTTCAAAACCACCATGGGTAAAAATATAGTCACGTGACGTAGTTATTTTTAACTGTAATTTTATAATCGCGAATCACGTGCAACTTCGGAATTGGATGGGCCTCGGAGGCCCACTTGGTGAATTTCCTTTGACCCAACTATCTTTCGCGATGGAAGTTTCAGGCCCAATCAAACATTGTTTTCTGTTTTGTAAATAAAAATTCATAAATATGAAAAATTAAATATATCCCCCACAAACTATAATCGGAGTAATTTAGAAATAATGTAATCTAAAAAATAAATTACAAAAATAATATTACTTCCAAAATAATAACAAAAGAAGTATAAATTAAACAAAAAATTATAAAATTAGAGATTATACTAAAACATTGACAAAAAAGACTGATTTTTAGTCAAAGTCAAAAAACGCACGCATTACACGCGATTTAAAAGTGCCACGTGGTGTATAGGATGGGGTGAGGTGGTATAGGCGATTTATAATTTTTTTTAGTAGTTAACAACTGGTCAAGACATATATTCTCTACTAAAATATTAGAAGTTTGAATTTCCAAAATATAATAATTTTTTTAGTGATTTATTCCTGACATATAAGGTAGTAAACTCAATTGTATTACCATCACCAAAATATTATGTGGGTTATTGCAGTGTTTTATATAGAAAAATAATTAAGAAAAAAAGTGTTATTGTAGTTGAATTTAATTATTAAAATAATAAAATGTATTATGCAATTTACATGTTTACCGGAAATAGTCAAGGATTACATTACCTATTGTACTAAAAATAAATAAATAAATAAAAAGACACTATATATGATGTATTTACAAATTCTTGATTGCTTGAAAATTGATATAATTAACTGACAGCTTAATACGACAAATATATAATTTAAATTTACGTTTGAAAATACATTTTTTTTTGATAATGTATTCGACCATTTTAGGTTGGCCCCAATTTACATTACAACGAGTCAAACTTATATTATTGTTATATTTATGTCACTAAAATTAATTTTAATTATATTTAAAATGGTATAAGTTATATCTTGGAATTCTTATTATTCTATTGTCATTTTATTTTCATTTAATATTAATTTTTATTTGGTGGGGGGAGTGCTACAAATTGATGAATAATAATACTTCGACCTATCTTAAAATAGAGGTATTTTTAATCTAAAAAGAACAAAGTTCAAAAGTACTCACCAAAATGAACATAGTTCAGTGGTAATTGACATATACCTCCAACTATTAGGATCCTTATTGATTTTGTTTTTGTTCTATTTTCCTAATTTATTCAGTCAGTTGCATCGTATTTTACGGGGTACGTGTGAAGAATCGAACAATGGTGAAATGACTCGAATTACACCTCCAATATTTGTTTTGAGGAGAATTCATAGTGCATAATGCTTATCTACTTTTATTCCCCAGATTTTTGTCATTTTAAATTTGGAGAGAATCCAAATCAGTTCTTTATTGGGAACAAAACATTTAGAACGTGAAACTTTTCTTTTAGTTGTTCTAGAAACTTTGTTGATGTATGTAGTGGATATTCAATTTGACMATCACTTTCACTCTCTCCTTTTCATGAATACATCTCCAAGGAATTGTAACCTCTTCCTCCAATTTGCCTACTGGTGGTTCACTTGTATCCTGTGATGAGCCAGCCACTCTCACCCCTTTCTAGTTGATGTGTATCTATCTCATAATTTATTCAAATTCACGTGATTCGTAGAATGCAAAAGAAAAGATATTTTCGGATTATAGTCGTATGAATGCAGTTACTAGAGTGTCCAAAAGGAAAGATATTTTCGGATTATAGTCGTATGAATGCAGTTACTAGAGTGTCAAACATGAGAACCGTCTTAAAATAGTGAAATTCTTTGTTGGATAAGTTTCAATCCACGTAAAATATATATGGATTTGAGAATTATCTTGAACAGAAGGAAAATAAATCGTTGGTGATCTAGTGGTCAATATAGACGCATGTAAATAGTAAAGAGCTCTTAAAATTTGCCTTCTAAAAATTTAATATTCTACCGACTTTCGTATTATCTTTTATAAAAAAGAAAAAAATAAAAAACTCTTAATTTGTTTTTTCAATAAACAAAAAATAAGAAACATAAATGTTGTCAAATAAGTTCTAAATATTTGTCCAAAAGGAGTAGAGTTAGAAAGTAGAAAATCAAAAGAATTTCTCTCTAGAAAAACAAAATGAAACGTAAGAGAGATTTTAATGAGGGAGAAAATGAAAAATGAAAAGAAAAAAAAAAGAATGTATAATTGTAAATATAAATATTAATAAAGTTTGAAGAAATTGAAAATTCAAAAAGGAGGTGCTGTTGGCGGTCATCCATTGGGCTCTTAATAAGGCTCATGAAAAGTGAAGAGCGTTGTTAGGCTGTGACATACATTAATAAAAGGAGGTGAAAATGTGAGCTCAATTTAAACTCTCAACTTCCCTTTATTAATCCCTCAGGCTCCTCTCTCTCTCTCTCTCTATTCCATCATTCATCTTATAAATCCTCCATCAAATAGAAAATTTCCACTTGGGACCTATGAATTTTCCCACCGTCCAAACATTTTTTTCGCTACAAGYTTGGTAGGTTTCTTCTCACTCRCTATAATCGAATAAAGAACATTGAAAATTATTTGATCTTACTTCATCTTTGTTTTGATTTCAGGGCGTGAGATTCAATTTTTTCGAAAAATTATATTATAATTTTGATTTGTAGGTCGAATAATTCTTTTGAGTGGCATTTTTTTTTTCAGGTGAGGAAGGAGACTAGGGAGAAGAAAGCTTAGGACAAATTGAAATTTGTCTTTACTTGAAAAGGAGCTTTGGATTGAGTTGCTTCGATTAAAGTTTGGTGTCTTCTATMCATATACGCATATAGCCAGCCTAATGGAGAAAGACGATAACTACTCAGTAAATATAGCCTTTTTTTTTCTTTTTTMTTTTAACTTTTTATTATAATTTTGTTGTTTGGTGAAATTAAACTCATTGATATATTAAGATATTTCGACTTATATTAATTGGATTTGAATATAATTTTGATCTATAAGGTTGGTTTCAATAATTTAGAAATAAAAATGCAAGGTTGGAATACCAAAACTATATTTAAACTATTTGGAAATGTTTGGCTTAGAATTTAAAAAATATGAGATTATATAAGGGTGGAGCTATAAATTTTCTTAATATAGGAGCAAAATTTTCTTTTTATACATGCATATTTTCAATTAAAAATGTTCGGAGAAAAACACTAGAGAAAGCTATGAGATCTCAATTTTTTTTTTTTTGTAAATTTTGAATTTATGACAAATTAAAAATGATAGTGGTGCCAACGTAAACGTAGCTTAATGATAATTGGTATTTACTCATCACCCTCATCTCCTTAGCTCCATCCCTAAATCAAATCTAGATATTCGATATTAAAAATATTTTAAAGTTCAAAAATTTATTAGATACAATATTATTAGATGGGCACAAAGAAACAAATGTCRCAAATTTACAACTTTTCTCTTAAAAAACAAAAGAGAAAAACTGGTTGTGTACAACAATAACGATAACAGTTTTTTTCTTTTTTTTTTTTTGCGTGGGACTTTTTTTCCTCTAAAAAGCCCACAATTTCTGTAAGGTAATATATATTGTAATTTTGCACAGAGCGATCCCATGCCTCCAAGTTTCTCCAGCCACCACCACAGCGATCTCTACAACCAGCCAGACCCATCTCACCACCACCAAGACCAATTCATGAGGTCTCGCCTCCTCGAAACTTCCGGCGAAAACGGCGCCGGAGTCCTCAGCTACTTCCCGACAAATCCCCTGCCGCCGCCACCGCTGCAACCGATAACTTCTCTCGACAAGCTCAGCTTCGCCGAGGTGATGCAGTTCGCAGACTTTGGGCCGAAGCTGAGCCTGAACGCACAAACTAACAACAACAACTTCATCGAGGAACTAAACGAGGAGGCKGGCGGGATCGACCCGGTGTACTTCCTGAAGTTCCCGGTGCTGAACGAGAAATCGTCGGAGGAGGGACCGGGAGTGGGAGGAGGCGGCGGGGAACAGGAGGACGAGGAGAATTGCAGGAATAACAATGGGAGTAAGAATAAGAGGAAGAGGGGGAGGAGTGTGAAGACGAGTGAGGAAGTGGAGAGCCAACGGATGACTCATATTGCTGTAGAGAGGAATCGGAGGAAGCAAATGAATGAGCATCTTCGCGTCTTGCGCTCTCTCATGCCTGGTTCTTACGTTCAAAGGGTAATCACACCATTATTATTATTATTATTATTTTCTAATTTATAAATGAAAAATASTTAGATTCTTACTTGGTGAGAATTAATCTTATTCTCACGCGTGGAAAAATGTAAAAACAAAAACATTACTAAAAGAAATAAGTTGTCACAATTTTTTAATAATGGCGAAGACAAGATTTGATTCTTACGACAAGAAGTCATTTTCTAAAAAAGTCTATGTTTTTTATATTTTTCTCTTACAACTTGTYTTCGTCACAATTAAATGTTTCACAGTTTAAAAGTGAGAAATGCAAAAATATGAATTTCTTTTAAAAAATGATGAACTATCAATTTTTGGTAAAGACAAGATTTGGAGTTTTTTTTTTCCTTCTTCTTGCACATGGAGAAAGAGAGAGAGATTTTTCTCTTAAAAAATAAATAGGTGTCAAAATCTTAATAGTAGCTAGGTTTTAACATTCCTATATTGTTCAGTAGTAGGGTGGAGCTAGAAATGTTCAAAATTTTAAATTTTAATATTTGTTACCTATAATCTTAAATCAGAGAGAAGAGAACTATTCAGTTTTTTTTTTCAAGTCTTATAATGCAGGCGATTGTTTCTTCTTTTTTCCACCCCAAACAATAGTCTCTTTAGATGCATATTTTTATAAATATCCGGGATATATATAGTTACTACAGACTTACAGAGACTACTAAAATAACTCATTTTAGGTGGAGAAAAATTCATTTTGAGTACAAAAGAGAGGAAATGAGAATGGTCAATATATGTCTCTSGTTGACTACTATTGAATTTGTTATAAATAGGAGAGAAAAATATGTAAAAAAAAAAGAATGATATTTTCTATGTTTTTTCAAAAAAAATTAAAGATGAGAATGTGAGTGGATTAAAATCGGAAGCCAATTCAAAAACTTGAAAAGAATCCAACAATATTGGAGCAGCTTTTTAGTTCACAATAATCACGTGATAGTAATTAATTAACTAAAGCAATAGATTTAATGATTTAACTAATTAATTAATTACACAGGGAGATCAAGCTTCCATAATCGGAGGAGCAATCGAGTTCGTGAGGGAGCTGGAGCAGCTTCTCCAGTGCCTAGAGTCGCAGAAACGGCGTCGTCTCTTAGGAGAACCCCCATTGCAAGGCGGCGACCTGCCGCCGCAACCGCCATATCTGCCGCCGGGTGCCGAGAGCCAAATGTTCGAAACGACGACGACGGCGGCGGCGGCGGGGCTGCTCCGGGAGGAAACGGCGGAGAGCAAATCGTGCCTTGCTGACGTGGAAGTGAAGGTTCTAGGATTGGACGCGATGATCAAGATTCTGTCGAGGAGACGACCGGGACAGCTCATCAAAGCCATAGCCGCTCTCGAAGATCTGCAACTCARTATTCTTCATACCAATATCACCACCATTGAACAAACTGTTCTCTATTCATTCAACGTCAAGGTTAGACTTTTTTTTTTTTTTGAAAGCTAAAATATTTTATTTACGAAAAAATATATTAATGTTTACCTCTAAACTTTTTACTTTTTGTTCCATTTCAGTTAATTCATTTATGTTTTACAAAACTATAATTGAGTACTCATAAACTTCCACCAAAATTCAACTTTAGGTTGTTTTTTGCAAGAGTTTTATTCAATTGTGTACGAAATATATATGTTTTATAGTTTGTTAAACGAACATAATAATTTAAGTTTAGTTTTATGAAATTAAAACTTTAAAGTAAAAATTTKTATTTTTTAATAAAAAWAGATTTTTGTACTCCCTTTATTATTACTCTTTTTTTGAACTCAGTGATTTATTTTTAAATAATTTTGTAAATTTTATATTTCTCTTACTCTTATTTTAGATGTATTTTACAAATAGTTTCGAGAGATGGCACAGTGGTAAGTAGGTATTGTATATGTTTTCAGTCCTAAAAACATACCTCCATCATGGGGATCCAGTGCATTAACCCCACGACATCATTTATACTTATATTTTGAGTGTTTTCTACACTTTTCAAGAGAGAAAAAAAAACACACCACTTTTAACAATTTTTAAAATAGTGTTAATTATTTATATATTTAATTTTGACTATGATTGTCGTAGATAGCAAGCGAGTCAAGATTCACAGCGGAAGATATAGCGACCTCAGTTCAGCAGATATTCAATTTTATTCATGCGAACACCGGCATGTGATGCACTGAATTAAACCCATAATATTATTATTCTCTACTTTATTTATTTTTTATGTTTTTTCAATATTTTTGTTTTATTGTTTCAAACAAAATAAAATAAAATTCCCTCTCTCTCAAAAGTATCTACAAGACACTTCCAATGCCTCATTATTATTTTTCTTATGTAAAAAATTAAATTTGAATAGGAAAAATTGACTACAAACAACATGCGTAAATGAATTGCTTTCTTACTTCAAGATTATGTATGTTTTTAGTGAATAAAAAGTGTTAAGATCCAACCATCTACATTTCTGTAATGGTACGATATTGTCTAAACATAACCTCTTGTACTAAAAATATATCATATCAATAAAGATAATTGTATTTATTTATATATGTATATATCGTGGATCTTTCTCCTTCTCTAGTAAATGTGAACCTTTGTTTACGTTCTTAGCAATCCTCCTTTCGAATAAAATATCATGGAGTTTCCCTTTAAATAGTCATTCATTCGTTAAACTTTTATTCAAACAAACTCTTCTCATTTGGAGCATACTGCATGTCCAATAAAACTTAACCACATAAATCATCGCACCCATAATCACTATATCTTCTAAAGTTCATCACTTCTTTGATAATTCGGTACTCAAAGAATATTCTATATTAACTTAGACTAAGCCCTTGAGATTTATAAATTTGCATTTCCAACAAAAAGTATTAATAAAATTCACATATTTATTAAATATAGTATACACGGACTAGCAAAAATGGACCAAATGCAAAGATTGATGGTTGGCTAAACTCACTTACAAAAATTGAGTGTATCGTCATTTTGGTATGTAAAAAGGAACCAATAAGTAAACAAATGAGATTATTAAAAATAAGATTGTTAGATAAAATGGTATTCAATACGTAGAAGCAAAGTAGATATTAGGATAATTTGCACCAAAACAAGGGTTCATGCATTTATATGAACTAGGAGCCGACATTGTCAAAAAGAAAAATTTGGAAGAATTAATATTATATATAATTAAGAGTCATTAAATGTTGGTGTATACAAATATATACACACCATATATCATATAATATATAAATTTTGGATTATTCAAAGAGACCAAGACAAGTAATTGACATTTTTGTCTGTTTACAAAAAAAACAAAAAGAAAATTAAATACATATGGGCCTTGGTCCAATTAATTCATCTTTAGATACGGACATATTACAAATATACAATTTACAAAGTCAAAGCTTAGAAAGAGAAGATGATGCAATCTAATTATGACCTATGTGACGTCTAGTCAACTGGTCCATCACTAGTCAACTTCCTTCTCTTTCTCTCTCCTACGTTAATTTAATTCAAAATACTTTTTTTTGCTTTCAATTTTCAAATAACTTTTACATTTTTCAAACCAAATTTAATCACATTTTGAGTTGTTTGGCTCACATGGTAGAACAAAAACTCAAAGTCAAAATTATTATACTCAGATGTAAGAAACTTTTAAAGACTGTAGTGTTTATTTTACGATAGATTATGAATTTGTCAATCCTATCAAGTTACATAAACTTCAAATATAACATAAATCTAAGTTGCACATTGCACCAGTAAAATTGGAAAGACAAACTGTTGCGTGATGTATAAGACTCATGTTCGAGAGGAGTATTGGACGTGAGATACTATCCAATGCAACGATAAAAACCTACAACTTATCTAGTCACCAACTGCCCGAATCACTATAACAGCAGTGAATAGATCGTATAAAACTTATAATTTATAACTTTGAAAATTATTATGCTTCCCATATGTTTTTTGTTTTATTATCTTTGGAGATGTGTGGAAAGAAATAATAGAAGTTGACATTGGAGCATGAAGGAGAGGATGATGAAATGCATTTGAAAGTCAACGCCATGGTCTTGTAATTGTAATTGTCCTAAGGCGTTGACCTGTCAGAAAATCATTAATAAAGTACTTTTTGGTGGTATCCGTTTTCCAATTTTGGCGGTGGCAGTGGGCGGTGGGGCCGCCGGTGGGGGCGGCGGGTCCTCCGTGAGAGGAAAGCCTCCGATCCGAACATATTTTAATTTCTTCTATTGGATCTGTTGCAGCCTGAAAATGCATGTGGGGATAGAATTGCATTTACGTGCTTTAATTTACTTTCTCCTTCTATTATTTGAAAAATAAAAATGGAAAAGCTTAATTAATTTTATCCCACACTGTTAAAAAAATATTTTAAGTACAACAATTCGAGGACATTGGAGATCAAACATCCGACTTCGAGAATAAAAATACATGTCAATTACTATTGAGTTATACTTATGTTGACTGACATTATCAATTTTATTACAATGAACTTCAAATTTGGATAAGTACTGCAATGTCTATATATTTTACTATGTTTTGATTTGAAAATTTATTAGTTCTCACTATATTCGTTGAAATCTATGACAAATTTTTTATTCGTCTTTTATAAGATGGTGCAGTGGTAAGTACTTAGAGTTTTGAGGTCCCAAGTTCGAGTTCGAACTCTGCGATATTGGGATCCACTAAAGTAAGTCACACGACATTGATTCCAATTTCTTTTTTTTTTAAATGTTTGTGACGAAATCGACCAAACTTTAGAGAATGTCGCAGGTAGGGATTGAGTTTTATTGATTAAAAGATTTATTTAATTATGAATTGATTTGCTCAAACTTTTTTTTAGCACAACGTATGTGGGTGAGGATTTGAAGTACGATTTTTTGGTCAAAAACAAGTGTCTTAATTAACAAGTTAAGTTAGACTCGATTTGGCAATTTGCTCGAGCTTAATTTTTTAGGAAAAAACTTTGCTCCTTAATGTTTACCAAGACAAGTGTTGGTTGTTTTTTTTTTTAATTATTTTATTAAAACTCATAATCTATTCAAAATCTCCCCAATCTATTTTAATTCTTTTTTTAGATTGGTTGGAAGACTCTTCTCCCTTTTTTTTTTCTCTCCACTCCCTTCTTTTTTCTCTGTTCTTCCTCTACCTTTTTTCTCAACTTGACCCAGTATTGATACTTGATCATCTGAGGCTAAAAGTTAAGTGAGAAAAATAAATTTAACTACCTTAATCCAATATCCAAAAACGTCTTCAAATTACATTCCTTTCGAAAATGACTATGAGAATGAAACAATAGAAGAGAAAATACACCATGTTATGCAATTTACGCAACTTCTCGACAATCATTTAAAACTATGAAAAATAAAAAGTAGAATATATATATATATGTGTGAGTACACCATTAAATTGTGGATAAATATTTGTGGAGATTCATTTTTCATTCAATAAATGTTAGAATCCATATAAATGAATTAAATTTACCAAACTCGTCCGCTTAAGCTTTTGGGTTGAGTGAGGGGAGTGCTTGAATTCATATAAATGAATTAAATTTACCCAACCAACATTTGTAGGGCCTCGACCAGGTCAAGGTAATGAGCACAATGCTCCACATCCTTAAGGAGCAAAGTTTTTTCCCAATTTATGCATTTGATTGTTAATGCACGATTTTCACTAAAATTAGTAAGTGAGATGTTTAACTTCTGGTTGAAATATAGTTCCTGATTAATGTAACAAACTTTTGAATAAGAATTGCAATAGTTTTCCCAATCGTTTTAAATTTGTATAATTTAAAGTATACGACGTATTGTCTTCAAATCGTACATTATTTCAATGGTAGAATCAACATTATTTGTGTGACRTCATCAAAAAAATCTTTCTTTTATGTGTTGTTTATTCTTTCAAAAAAAAAAAACATGTGTTGTCCAAAGATATTTTCCTTCCCAAAATCTATCAATGACTTTTCTTTTCTTTGAAYGAGGAGTCAAGAGTGACAATTCAATTTTGCTTGGAATAAAACAAAGGCACTAAATTTATTGCACCAATTTTGCATCCCATGCACAAACCCATTAGGAAATAATTCCTAAAAGGCAACAGTGAAAAAGCTTTTCSGAAGCTTTTCTTGAGTTGATGGRTGAGAGATATCTGTCATAYATRATATTGTCCATTTTAAACGTATTTATGGTGGTTCATATGCCTAAAGCAGACGACACAATATGTTTTTGGTATCCTAAGAATTTTCACGACTTTACTTTTGGTTTCACTTAAAAAGCATCATAGTATCATGCGGCGGATCCAGAAGAAGTTTTTTTAAGGAGGCTTGATTTAAAATTCAGTAAAAATAATTTATAAATACGWAATTTCAGGAATATAATTCATAAAAGTTCATAAATGAAATTAAGTCTAATTTGATACAATTTGATACAAGAAGAAAAAATGTACATTAGACAAATAATCTTCAAATGGTCCACTTTCTTAAACTCTACAGAATTTTAATTAAAAATTATATAAAATATGCAGAATTTTATCTCGAAAATTTGATGATGGATAGAGAAGATTAAAAAAATCGGCACAATAATAAAAAAAAATTTAGGTTCAAATACTTAATATATCATTTCTCCCTTTTTTTTCCTTAAAAAAAATAGACATAGTTATATAGAAAAATTTTAACTTTTCTATAAAATAATAACAAAAAATAACGAATTCTATTTTTGTCCTCTTTAAAAATCAAGAATTACATCCATTTTTGCTTCTCCAAAAACCACCAATTACATCAGTTTTTACTTCCCAAATTACCACACCTTTTTCCATCTTAAAAAATTACAAATGGCAAGAAAAGAGAATAAAAGTTCAAATTTGAAAGTTTGAACGCGGGTTTTAGGAAGAGCTGGGTAATTTTTGATCGAACCTCCGACTTCAAAAGAATGAGTAAAGTGTCTTAACCGTTGAGTTATACAACTCATGCAAGCAGGTAGTCGTGATAGAATTTGAACTAATTTCCTCTCCTATAATAATTAAGAATAAAAATATATTAAGAATGTAATTTTAGAAAGTTGTAATAACATATTCATACAATTTGCACAAACATGGACATGATGCCAAAACTCACCTTTTGCATTTGTACAAGTTAGCTATATAATGCAATATTGCTCTTCCATTTATATGGAAAAGTCCCCTCCATATTTGATTCCACTTTATTCTACACTTGTTCTTGCTCACATGCATTGATGTAAAATTTGGCCAATATGATCAAGTTGATGGAGAAAAGGAAAGGAAAAAAACCTAATACAAGAAAAAAGAAGTAATTGGTTAAGTCACTTTAATGTCATTTGTGGACTCAATACGAAATCTCTAAAAATATTCGGGATTTGCATATTAATTAAGTTGCATCTCAAATTACCCCTAGTCCATTCTATTAATACATTTTACATGAATGTAAACTAATATTATTATAACATTTATTAAATTAATTATACCTATTGAGACAGTAATTCTACGAACTAGTTTGAAACATTTTTGACATCGGAATCAGTACATTTTTAAAAAAAATTGAACAATCGAACATATATTTATCTCAAGCGATATAAAATAATTAAAAGTAATTGGTGATAATTATAATAATTTGTCATGAACAAAAATATGTTAGGATTATAATTAATTAAACAAAATATAACATAAGTAAATCAATTATTAACTTTTCATAATTGATTATACAACCTAATTATACGATAATTAAAAGTGGATCGTATAATTAGATTGTGTAATGTATAATTTTTTTTAGTATAAATGTGGAGGTGGGGGATTAAAGCAACCTCCCAGTAGTAGATATATGTCAGCTAATAATTTTAAATTGCTACGTCCGTAAATTTTCAGTGTCATGGGACCAACTTTATTTGATGGGCCGAACTGTCTAGGCCCCATGCATAAAGTGAGCTTTGAAAAATCAGTCAGGCCCAATCGATTCAATCTAACATCCATCCTCTGGCCCAATTTATTTGTGGGCTAAACTTTTTAGACCCATGATTAAAAGTGGGCCTCGTAAAACTCAGTCAGACGCAATCAATCTAATTTAAGTTCATCTATCGGCCCAATTTATTTGGTGGGCTAAACTTTCCAAATCCAAAATAAAAAACGGGCCCTGAAAGAACTTAGTCAGGCCCAACTAGTCCTAGATATTGAAATCCTTCGGTCCACTCCAATCTCCTCCTCCAAAACCCTAGCTGCTCGCTCAGATAGAGTAGCCGCTGAGTAGATGGACAAGTGTGATTAAAGAGTAGCAGAAAATAAACAATAGTGATTCGTTGTAGATACGGTAAAAGTGAAGGAAAGTTCAATGAGGGTTGAGGTCGAGTAAATCAACCATTTGTTAAAATAGCATAGATCAGCGGTAATTCATATATATCTTTCGCCAAGAAGTTGCGAGGTCGATCTCCACCTCCGTGTGTTGTACTAAAAAAACTTTTATTTAAATAACATAAGTAAAAAAATTGAAATACCTCTAATATTTCATATTGTTCTACTTCAAGATCCTTAATAATGTGATGTGTAATTACATATACAATAATCCTTAAATTCAAAGGGAGATCAGAGCTATCTACAAATATCCTTTATTGACAACGAGAAAATGTATGTGACAACAAATTTAGAAAAACGGTAGAAAAAGATTGCAATAGATAAAACAACTAGCAGAGCTAGAAAATGAACAATAAACTACCTCATGACAACAACAGAGTAAATAGATAAACGAAAAATATGATAGTATATTGCAAATAATAAAGTTGACAGAATGATTAATTACTTGGTACATTGTAAAAGATTTTTAGTATCTAAAACCTTTAAAGTAGGTAAAGTAAATTATATTATTATTTAGGGTGAATATGCCAACAAATCAAAAAAATTACCTACTAAATTCAACAAATTGGAAGAATAAATCATAAATAAATATAAAATCACGTATAAGGATTAAAAGAATTATACAAAATTTAGAAAATACATTGGAAAGTATATAAATCTTAAATTAACAAAAAACAATCAAATAAAAAAATTCAATCAAATATTATTTATATAAACGCAAAAATAATAGTGAAAAAAATAAAGATAAAATAAATAAGTTGAGTGATTTTTAAAACTGAAAATCTAGCCTATCTCAACTGCTTTGATAAAAGGTATTCAAATTCCTACCCTTATATGTAATAACATTGTAAACAATTTTATGATATTTGAATTTAGCAACTAGGGTAAATAAATAAAAAAGCTTCCCTGCCCTCGAAATTCTATGATACTTTTTGAAATATAGCCTTTATCCCAAAATTCCCTATTTAAGTTGATTTCAAAAAAAAAAAAAAAAGGTTGATTTATGGGCCCAATTGATTTGGTGGACTAAACGAAAAGTGGGCTTTGAATAAAGCCAGTGAGGCCCAAGTATCAGCACAAGTACATATTTAAATCATTCGGCCACTCCCGTGTCCTTCCCAAAACCCTAGCTGCGCTGCTCGGAAGCCGCTGAAGAAGAAAATGGTGTCTGGTTCTGGAATCTGCGCCAAGCGCGTCGTCGTCGACGCAAGGCACCACATGCTCGGGAGGCTGGCTTCGATCGTGGCCAAGGAGCTTCTCAATGGTCAGAAGGTAGTCATTGTCCGATGCGAAGAAATTTGCATCTCCGGAGGCTTGGTTCGCCAGAAGATGAAGTACATGAGGTTCTTGAGGAAGCGTATGAACACCAAACCCTCCCATGGCCCCATTCACTTCCGCGCCCCTGCCAAGATCCTTTGGCGAACAATCCGTGGGTAATGTCTCTTCTTAGATTGGGAAGAAAATGCGTTTTCTCTCGTCTTCGTATTTCTTCAACGCCCTTCTGGAATCGATATCTATAGCAGTGATATAGTTGTGTTAAATTTATGCCATGGTATCGGGAATCATGTGTAGCTTAGCTTGTGGTTTCTTTGTTGTTTTCGAGTAATTTGTTTGATTTACACTATTATTTCTGTGCATTTACCTAGCTACTGCTGCTGAGATTGGGAAGAATTGTGTTTTGGATTGGTTTCATATTGCTCTTATAATTAGGTCTTGAACCAATAATGATAGTAGCAACATCAATGTGTTAAATTTTATTCTTTAATGTGTTGTAGTTTTTTTTTTTACGAGTGATCTGTTTATTCTACACTGCATTGCCTAAATGCGGAAATCAAGTTCATGGTTTACCATGTTATGCTGGAAAACTATTGGTTTATAATGCTCCTATAGTGAAGGAAACTAGTCCAGTTTTCTGCTTTGCTTCCAGATTAGGGTTTAGGGTTCACCTATGTATCTGTTTTTTTATCCCAGATGGGTATAGTCTATGTGGGTCAACAACTTATTTGGTTACTGTTTTTTTTTTCTTTAGAATGATCCCGCACAAGACTAAGCGTGGAGCTGCTGCTCTTGCTCGTTTGAAGGCATATGAAGGTGTTCCTCCTCCCTATGACAAGATGAAGAGAATGGTCATTCCTGACGCTCTCAAGTGAGTTTTATGGCGAGATTGATCTTTTTTTACAAGATGTACATTATTTTGCCCCACTATATTATTAATTTGAATGTAAAATATTAGCTATGAGTTTGAATTTATGTTTAAAAAGTGAAAAACAAAACAAAACAAATCTAAGTAATAGGCCAAGTTTTTTTGACATGGAAAGCTGAAAACCAAATTATCATCAATCGGCTTATAGCCTTATAGAAATTTATACATATTTATGTTCTTCTGTATATTGAAACGTTATGTACCATGTGAAAATTAGGGTTTTGAGGCTTCAAGCTGGACACAAGTACTGCTTGTTGGGTAGACTCTCATCAGAAGTGGGATGGAACCACTATGACACTATCAAGGTACGCCATTGAAATTGCCTGAATAATGGTCTTATTCCCCCATTCCGCATGGTTTCTATTCATAAGCCTATTGCTATTTTTTCAAAGGCACCCACTCACTCAATGTTATTCAATCTCACCCATTTACGAATTTTCGTTTTTGGTTATTTATGATTCTCCTTTTTCTGGTGAAGTAGATAGATGATCCTTTTTGGTCAGCATTTATCCACAGTGAATTATGATTGTTTTGTTTTTGTTCCCTCAGGAGCTTGAAAGGAAGAGGAAGGAGAGGGCTCAAGCCGCATACGAGAAGAAGAAGCAGTTAACAAAGTTGAGGGTCAAAGCCGAGAAGGTTGCGGACGAGAAGCTCGGTCCCCAGTTGGAAGTAATAGCCCCAATTAAATACTAGTTTGTTTCGAGTTTGTTATGAACGAATGCTCTAATGTTATGGGAGAATCGAGTTGCAGGTGAATTTGCATTTCATTTTAGTACCGTTTTGTTGTCTATTGATGATGATGATGTTGGTCACCTTTTTTCTTCGGATTTTGAAATTAGTTAAATTTTGTGGAATCGGTTATTATTCCTCTCTATTCGAATAGATCACATACTCATAATTTTTATGTCATATTAATGTCGTGTTGATATCATGGTATTAAATATAATTGTCTTTTATAGTTTCAGTTTGAAAATAATATTTAATAGTAATGTTAAAACATACTATAACTTTTGATTTAAGATAGAAATTATAACGATGGGGTTGCAGCCTAATTCAAAATTAAAAAAAAATGTGGCCTCACTTACTTTGCCAGAACATTACCATCAGTATTATTTTTTGAATTAGTATGTAAGTTGTATTATTTTAAAAAAATAGTTTGATTTTTTGAATCCTTAACATCACATTTCTATATAAAATGGTTTATAGTGTAACAATTTATTATTTAATTTTTACTGACAATTGATGCTTACTTAAGTGATATTACAAAATGTGATAAATTACTCGAATAAGATAGATTAAATTTAATAAAAAAAGCTTTAACCACCAGACTCAAATTGACCCAAAGTATGAGAATATATGTATAAAAATAAGTATTAAGCAAGTAAAAAAAACACATGGATCAAGGGGTACCAAAAATAAATCAACATTCAAAAACAAAAAAAATTTAACCATTAGACTCGACTTGACCAGAAAAAATTGCTTTCAATCACTTTTTCGAAATAAATTTCTCACTGCTTCAAAAAAGTACATCTAAATTGTAACCAAACCATAGCCCAAAATGTTCACGTTAGTGAATATAGAAAATAATGAAAAGAAAGTTTTGGTAATCATACTAGTATTCTTCAAAAAGATGAAAAATGAAACTAATGCTTTTTCTTAAGAAATCGTAAATGGAACTTTAATGATAATGGGTGCAATCAACAAATAACACAACAATAATTGGTATACGTCCTTATTAGAGTGCTATCATCGACGACTTTCACGCAACTCAAACTCTTACTTTCAAGGGTCTTTTTTTTTCTTATAATAAGGCTCACCCCCGACGTTTACGTTTTTTGACTTCCCTAAAATCTAATATTTGAAAGTTGGTAAAGACCCACCCCTTGTTTCAGTCAGAATGAGTCCCCGGGACCCCGGGACATTGGCTTCCGCCAACAGTGGACTATTAAGGATCGCATCCCGCGCATATTCTACATTATAGCCTGCAACTGATTCAGCTTCCGCTTCTGGGAGATCAAACGGAGCTCGATTAGTTTCTGCTAGACGAGAAATAAAGAACATAATAAAAATTGGCATGAATTCAAATTCCTCCCAACTTGTACCAAAAAAAATGGCAAAAAATGTCAGTTGATACAGAATATGTAACTCTAAAATGACTAATATTTTTTTTAACAAATTTTTTTCAAAAAGAACTAAAATAAGCTTATAATAGTACAAATTTAAGAACACAGCATAATTTTAAAAATAAACTTAATATCATAAGTTAGATCAATGAATTAGTTGACTAACAATATGATGAATCTTAATTACAATTATTGAGAAAATAAATCACCATAATATTATTTCTAAGAAAAGGATCATAGTATCAATATTTAAATGAAATTAATACCACGTTTAGAAATAGAAAAAAATAAAAACAAAATTTGTTATTATGTCTTCAAGGACTTTGAAATTTCCACCAATGGCCGAGACTTTTGGTGTTAATTCCCATGTTTTTTCGAGTCTCATTTGGTTTCGAGAGCCTCCCCGTCCCCGCTCCGGATATTGTTTTCATTCTGTGTTCTTATTTCTAAAGCATACAATACACACGAGAAAAAATTGGAAAATTCCAAAACAGAATTGTTGGAAGAAGCTTCCTCTCCTCTACTTGATGTTATGCGTTGGGACACTGAGATAAAATTTCGTGTTCTTGAAATCGTCCAGAAGTGGGTTGTAACCATCCTTCAATCTCGTCTTTGATGGCAATCCAAACTCTTCCATAAATGACGAAGTATCAAGCTGCCACCAAAAAGTTCATCAATGCCAACACCAAACTGACGATTAAGTCTTTAAATTATCATGATTTTTAACTTGTGAAGAAATCGTTAATAACAATTATATACTTCAGCCTCTGTTTAGTATCTGAGGTTATTTATCCCTCATCATCTGAGTGAGCAAGTTAACAAGAATCAAGCGGCATTTTTCTCAAGAGCAAACTGCAGTTTTTACAATTAACACATTAGAGATTTGTGCAACTTACGATTATTGTTCGCCGCTTTTTCCCCGTCTTTGGCGTTTTATCTCCATGCAGTTTCAGCCACCCAGAACAATAATGGTCGATCTGTTCCAGTAATACAAAGTCTGTGGGGAAAAAGATGTCAGCATCACCCTGCAGATCGAACAAAATATTATTACCTCTTCCCTGTGAAAATGGCAACATTCGATGGCAAAAGAAAAAGGTAACAGCCGAAATGAACCCTTTAAATTATACGATAAGAATAAGGGATTTTTTTTCTTTTTAACTGGGGAGCCGAAGCTTTACTGTCCTATACCTAAGGGCACCCGCGCCCGCCCCAAGGTCTAGATCTAGGAGATATCAAAGATTTTTTGTATTAAACTTACTGGAAGGTTCGAACTTGAGAACTCTAAGCTACCAGTATGACTAAGAGACCCCAAGCCCTTGCCAACCGGACTGCCTTCGAAGAATAAAAGATTATTAAGATAGGCAAGTTAGAAAACTGAATCCAATTTGAAGCTTCTGGACTCGGGCTGTAGTAGCATACCTTTGCATCTAGATAGCTTTCATAGTCTGAGCTGGTTCCATCTGCCTGCATGTTGAAACATAAACAACTGAAACTACAATGATTCTATATACTGGTTTTGTTGTTTTAAAACATAAAGGCTATCGTCCTGAAGATACCAGGCTGCAGGATTTTCAATCCTCGCAACTAGAAGAAAGAACATACCTTGGTTGAAACTAGTGGTGCTCTTTCACCAGGTATCCTCACATCAGGTAAATAACTAAAGTCCGAAGCGATTAATGACATCTTTGGTAGCACATGATGCAACACTTCAAGTAGTTTCTGCAAAACCAGTACGGCACTAGGGTTGGTGAAATCTTGGGGGAGAGAGGAGGGGGGCGGGATCATGAAGTGGTTTCTCACCAAGCATCCAGTTGGTAGCCAGCATCTTCTAGGTTTTGGAAAAGCTTTAGACCAAATGCCTTTTGCCTTTGATAATACACTGCTTTCGGCATGGTCATTTTCATTGAAATTCACAATCTCTGCACAACGCTTAATAAGAGGGTCTTGCAATGGCTTGTATAATTCTACAAGTGACTCCCTGCTGTCATGGAGAGGCAGGATCAGCAACGACTTGAAGAAATCGTCACATGTAAAAGTAAGCTAAACAGCTTGCTAGGGATAGCTTTAAGGCACATTTGTAATTGTCATCTGTTACCAAGTCACATCACAGAAGCTTATATACAATGTCTGTCGATGGCTCTGACTGTAAAGTTTTAAAAACAGAGCCAGGTACCAAGATGCTTTAACCATGACCAAAATTGAGACCGGTTCTTTTTCTTTTTTCTCCTCCAAACTACCGAGAATTATAAGAGCGAGGCAGCGACGCAAAATTATTAAAGGATAAGGACATGTGTGGGAGTGATTTTGACATATCTTATAACTCAAGGAAACAGTTGTACAACCTATAGAACAGATCATGTTCAAGTAAGGTCGTGGAGTGATTTTGACATATTTGGAATTACTTTTGTCATTTTCTAAAATTTCTAGTATGTCATTGCCAAAATTACTATTTTACATGAAAGTTCATGCCAATTACCAAATGCAAAAGTTACTTCCATGTTTGACAATAAAATTCAAGTAATTTTAGAAAACGACAGAGATAATTTTGACTATGCCAAAATGACCTCCTAAGAGTTTCGACTTTAGGATAATAACTTCAAATTTTTAAGGTGAACTTCTGGATGAAGCCCACTGATGTTGCTTTAGAAACGAGAATATGCAGATCGCTGAAAATGACAATGGACCAGTAATTGAAGTGAAAGGGTGTCGATAAAACACCTTTCATTCATGAAGTATTCAACCACGTCACTTGTAGTGAATAAGTGAACCAATAGTCAAATAAGAGGTCACCTCTTTTAGAAAAATGCATCAAGAAGTAAACCGGGCAGGCATGAAAAATGTTGTATACCTATTGAGTTGCTTCTCTACCCATACTTCCATCCATGAGGAAACTTGATTTTCTGAGTAAATAAGATCATGAGGTAGATTGTCAAGTACCTGTTAGATTGAATAATTAAATTGGTCGGTAAGCATATAATTGAGTCAAAATCTACAGAAAGTTGAAAACCTCTTAAAGATGACAAAATACACACG